CCAAGTTTTACCATATCTGGCTTAGACCAGAAGTCTTCCACATATAAGACAAATAAATACGTAAGATATTTAATAAGATTATTAAGCAGCTGAGGGGGAAAAGGAAGGGGCATGAGGCTGTTAGGAATGGTGGGAGTTGAAATACAAAACACATGGAGGGCCCAAGTTGTGCCATGCATGTTCTATGAGTATGACATCCACGTACTGAAGGATGTTGTCCACGTCCTGAAGGAATAGTGGGAGTTGAAGTCCAAAAGACCTGGAGGGCCTAAGTTTGCCCAGGCCTGGTATAGATGCATCCCATAGCAAGGGATGGAGGACTGGAATTTATTTATTTGTTTGTTTGTTTATTATATTTGTATACTGCCCTTCTCAGCCCGCAGGCGACTCAAGGCGGTTTACAGAGGCAACAATTCAATGCCCAACAACACCATAAAAACATTTTAAACATTTAAAAACATTAACATAATATATTGTTATGGTTGGTCCTGAAAAGGTTCGTTGGTTGTTTTGCTTGCTTGCTTGCATGCTGCAAGTCGCTTCTGGAGTGAGAGAATCAGCCATCTACGAAGACGTTGCCCAGGGGACGCCCGGATGTTTTGCAATCCTGTGAGGAGGCTTTTCTCATGTCAATTTAAAAATAAAATAACATAATATAAAACCATAACAAGATCAATAAGACATAAATCATTTGTGTCTCCTAGTTAAAACGTTGTCCAATCTCGTCATCCAGTTGTTCCATATTCCTATGTCTCTTACACTGCATTTTTGAACACTTGCTCAAGCAGCCAAGTCGTGACTTTTTTCTGGAATGTTAAAAGGGAGGGGGCTGATCTAATGTCCCTAGGAAGGGCGTTCCATAGCCGAGGGGCCACCACTGAAAAGGCCCTGTCAAACATATTTGTGATGCCGGCGGGATCGAGAGCAGGGCCTCTCCAGACAATCTTAATGTCCTAGAAGCACTCTACGCAGAGTTCCTCTCTGCTTCGGGTTGCTCTTGGCCTCCCAGAGCATCTCGGCATTGCACAGCTGAGCTGTGATTCAGTAGTCAAATATGTGGGTCATCTCCTGCGTCGCAACGAAGGCTCTCCAAAGAGACCTTCCCTTTCCCCCATTCCTCTTCCTCCCGACAGCGCTCCGCGTTTGTCCGACCCTCGCAGCTGTTTCTGCCTTTGCGCCTCTTGCTCACTGGCGGCACATGAGGCCTCCATCAGCTTTCAAAGCCACCCAGGGCCGGCTGTGTTTTATTTTCTGCTGTTTTCTTTTCTCTTTATAGAACGAAACCATTTGCAACAAAGGAGTGCTAATTTAATAAGAGACTGGGATGGCCTGTGTTTGTGTTGTAATCCTAATCGGGCGGGTTTTCTCCATGCTTCCAATGCAGGCTGGATGGTATTGTTGGCCACAGTTGGGATAATTCTGGGCAGAGAGCCCAATTCCATATGTGTGCAAGAAGGCACACATACACACACATATATACACACACCTGAGTTATGTGGTGGTTTTGAGTCACACTAGCAATCACAAGTATTTGACACTGATGGAGAACGGAAAGAGAAAGATATGTGTCTATACTGTAGTTGGGCTCCAGTTTGACTGCCATGGCTCCGTGTTATGGAATTAGAGGAGCTGTAGTTTTAGAATGTTAAAGCACATTCATTCTCCAATGTAGAATAATCATAATAATCATAATTATAAACTTTATTTATACCCCACCACCATCTCCCACTTTCCTCCTTTGTCTGTAGCTTACTTGTTAACAGGCACTGATACAATACCATACTACAAACTCTGCATTGACTTGATATTAATATTGAAATAATAATAATAATCTAATATAAATAAAAATGTAATTTTTGTTTGTGGTATTCACAGAACTCAAAAACTATTGGGGGAATTGACACCAAATTTGGACACAAGACACCTAACAACCCAATGTATGTCCTCCACTCAAAAAAATTTGATTTTGTCATTTGGGAATTGTCGTTGCTGGGATTTATAGTTTGCCTAAAATCAAAGAGTATTCTGAACTCCACCGATGATGGAATTGGGCCAAACTTAGCACACAGGGCTCCCATGACCAACAGAAAAGACTAGAAGGGTTTGGTAGACATTGACCTTGAGTTTGGGAGTTGTAGTTCACCTACATCCAGAGAGCACTGTGGACTCAAACAATGATGGATCTGGACCAAACTTGGCACAAATATTCCATGTGCCCAAATATGAACACAGATGGAGTTTGGGGGAAGTAGACCTTGACATTTGGGAGTTGTAGTTACTGGGATTTATAGTTCACCTACAATCAAAGAGCATTCTGAACCCCACAAACACAGAATTGGGGCAAACTTCCCACACAGAATCCCCATGACCAACAGAAAATACTTAAGGCCATCCAGTCCAACCCCCTTTACTAGGGCAAGAAAACATAATCAAAGCCCTCCTGACAAAGAGCCATCCAGCTGTAGATATAGATAGATAGATATGATTCACACACACAAATATAGTATCCTAGATTTGAAAGGGACCCCTAAAGAAGGATAAGGATTTTCCAGAGTAGGCAAACCAGACACTCTCCACATCAACACTGACAAAGAAACAACAAGAAATACTGTTTATCCACAAGCAGAAAGAAATTACATAGATTAGAAACCATTACTTTATTTTCCAGATCACCAGACTGGGCCACAGCAACGCGTGGCAGGGGATGGCTAGTAGTAATAATATAAAGCCAAGTATGGGTTGTCGATGTTGCAATCCCCGGCGACAAGAGGATTGAAGAGAAACAACTGGAAAAGCTGACACGATACAAACATTTAAATATCGAACTGCAAAGACTCTGGCACAAGCCAGTCAAAGGGGTTCCCTGTGGTTATCGGCAAACTGGGTGCAGTGCCTAAAGACCTTGGCCTGCACTTAAAAACAATTGGCACAGACCAAATTACCATCTGTCAGCAGCAAAAGGCCTTCTTACTGGGATTTACATGCATTATTCGCCGATACATCACATAGTCCTAGACACTTGGGAAGTTTCCGACATGTGATCCAATATTAACAACCAGCATAGTGATCTTGTTTGCTGTTCTTTGTGTGTTTCTAATAATAATAATAATAATAATAATAATAATAATAATAGCTTACACGATATGATGATTTAAAGATCAAACTACAAAGACTCTAACACAAGCCAGAAAAGGTGGTCCTAGTGCTGATAGGCACACTGGGTGCAGTTCCTAAAGACCTTGGCCTGCACTTAAGAACAATTGGCGCTGACAAAATTACCATCTGTCAGCTGCAAAAGGCCACCCTGCTCGGAACTGCTTGCATTATTCACCAATACATCACACAGTTCTAGGCATTTGGGAAGAGTCCAACGCGTGATGCAATACAAAAACTAGCAGAATGATCTCATCTTGTTATGTGTACTCATCTTGTTATGTATCTAATAATAATAATAATAATAATAATAATAATAATAATAATAATAATAAATTTATTACCTGCTTTGCCTTACAGCTTGCAACTTGTGGTTAAATTTAATACATTAGACCATGTTAACAGGCACTGATATTACACCATACCACAAACTTTGCATTGACTTCAAATTAATATTGAAATAATAATAATAGTAGTAATAATAATAATAACAATAATAATTAATTGATTACCTACGGTACTTTGCCTTACAGCTTGCAACCCGTGGTTAAATTTAATACATTAGACCATGTTAACAGGCACTGATACTATACTATACTGCCACAGATGCAGGCGAAACATCCGGAGAGAATGGTACTGGAACATATCCATACAATGTATTGTCGAAGGCTTTCATGGCTGGAATCACTGGGTTGTTGTAGGTTTTTCTCCTGACGTTTCGCCTGCATCTTTGGCAAGCATCCTCAGAGGTTGTGAGGTATGAGGTTTTTGGGCAATATGACCATGTTCTAGAAGCATTCTCTCCTGGCGTTTCACCTGCATCTATGGCAAGCATCCTCAGAGGTTGTGAGGTCTGAGGTTTTTCGGGCTATATGGCCATGTTCTAGAAGCATTCTCTCCTGATGTTTCCCCTGCATCTATGGCAAGCATCCTCAGAGGTTGTGAGGTCTGAGGTTTTTCGGGCTATGTGGCCATGTTTAGAAGCATTCTCTCCTGATGTTTCGCCTGCATCTATGGCAAGCATCCTCAGAGGTTGTGAGGTCTGAAGTTTTTCGGGCTATATGGCCATGTTCTAGAAGCATTCTCTCCTGACTTTTCGCTTGCATCTGTGGCAAGCATCCTCAGAGGTTGTGAGGTCTGAGGTTTTCGGGAAATATGGCCATGTTCTAGAAGCATTCTCTCCTGACGTTTCGCCTGCATCTATGACAAGCGTCCTCAGAGGTTGTGAGGTGTGAGGTTTTTCGGGCAATATGGCCATGTTCTAGAAGCATTCTCTTCTGACGTTTCACCTGCATGTATGGCAAGCATCCTTAGAGATTGTAAGGTCTGAGGTTTTTCGGGCTATGCGGCCGTGTTCTAGAAGCATTCTCTCCTGACGTTTTGCCTATGGCAAACATCCTCATAGGATGTAAGGTCTGAGGTTTTTCAGGCTATGTGGCCATGTTTACAAGCATTCTCTCCTGATGTTTCACCTGCATCTAAGGCAAGCATCCTCAGAGGTTGCGAGGTCTGAGGTTTTTCGGGCTATGTGGCCATATTCTAGAAGCATTCTCTCCTGACATTTCGCCTGCATCTATGGCAAGCATCCTCAGAGGTTGTGAGGATGGTTGCCATGGATGCAGGGGCAAAACATCAGGAGAGAATGCTACTAGAACATGGCCATATAGCCCGAAAAACCTACAACCCATGGCCAGCCCGAAAAACTCACAGCGACCCATTGGTAGAAAGTGTTGCTCTTGGCCCATGTGCAAACTAACTTTGTTTCTTTCTTTTTTGGATTTCTGGTTACCTCTGGCAGGCTTTTTGTGTCTCTCGCTCGCTTGAGGAGTGAGGAAACGGTTAAGCGCTCCAGCATTTTGATTAGCAGAGAGCCTTAAAGTCAGTGGAAGGGAGGAAGGGGGGAAAAAAGTGGAAGAAAGACAGTCGGAGGGAACTATCAGAAGCATGCTAATGAGGTGAAGTCATCCGCCGAGGAAGACACCGGAGAGAGCCTTCCTTCCTTGCAAAAGGCGGCGGAGAAGTGGCCGGACCTGTCCAAGGATGGGCACAGGTGGGCTCCCGTCCGGAAATGGGACTCGCCTTCATGGAGCATCTCCAAAAGCCACACGTCGGTGCTTTCCAAACCAGTGATCCAGGCCCCTGTGCTGGACCAGCAACGCTTTTCCCCATCCCCAAAAGAGTCTTTAAAGGGAGGAATAAGAAAGCCAAGGAATAAGAGAAGAGGAAGGCGAAATTTGTAAACAAAACGTTGGATAAAGCGAAAATGCTTTCTCTCTTGGAAGGAACAGTCGCTTGCCGGGTGGATTATGGAATCGATTGTAAGGAGAACTCGCCGGTTTGAAGTTTTGCTTCTACAGTTTTTTTGGAGGGGAAAGATCTATTTTTGGAGACGTCCGAAAGCGGCGCACCTTTGGTTTCCATACAGTGAAAAATGAGAGGAAATAGCGGCACTTGCCAAGGTTAACTGCTTACAGGTAAAAGAGATTTGATCGGGATGCAAAGACTTCTATGGGGAAATCCCTCTTTCTGCTTCATCAAGGAAATAGACCAGGAAGGTAATTCATTATCCTCTGTTAATATTTCCTTTTGGTGTCTTTTATTTTTCTGCAATCCTGATTAGGAAATTGGTTGGTTGCCCTCTAAGTATAAATACCAAGAGTTGTATCAGACAATTCATTTCTCCCCCAGATCTCCACTTCATACATGTAACACGTCTTAACATTAAAAGTGTTTTGGGTTTTCAAGACAAAATACAGATGTTAATTTCTGCAATCTGTATTTTGTCTTGAAAACCCAAAACACTTTTAATGTTAAGACGTGTTACATGTATAAAGTGGAGATCTGGGGGAGAAATGAATTGTCTGATACAACTACTACTACTACTACTACTACTACAACTACTACTACTAATAAATTACCTGCTTTGCCTTACGACTTGCAACTCATGATTAAATATAATACAGTAGACCATGATAATAGGCACTGATACTATACCATATAACAAAGTCTGCATTGACTTGATATTAATATTTAAATAGTAATAACAGTAATAATAATATTAATAATAATAAGTAATTGATTGCCTGATTTTCCTAATAGCTTGCAACAATCAGTTAAATTTAATACAGTAGACTGTTAACAGGCATTGATACTATACCGTACCACACTCTTTGCTTTGACTTAATATTAATATTGAAATAATAATAATAATAATAATAATAGTAATTATAATCAATAAACAATTATCCGCTTTCCCTTACAGCTTGCAACTCGCTTTTCAATTTAATACAGTAGACTGTTAACAGGTACTGATACTATATCATGCCACAAAGTTTGCTTTGTCTTGATATTATTGAAACAATAATAGTAATAATAATCTTAACAATAGTCAATAATTGATTACCCCGCTTTTTCGTATGACTTGTAACATATGGTCAAATTTAATACAGTAGACTGTTAACAGGCACTGATAACTATACCATACCACAAACTGTTCATTGTATTGATATTAAATTTGAAATAATAATAATAATAATAATAATAATAATAAATTACCCTGCTTTTCCTTACAGCTTGCAATTCATGGTTCAATTTAATGCAGTAGACTGTTAACAGGCACTGATACTATACCATACCACAAACTTTGCATTAACTTAATATTGATATTGAAATAATAATGGTAGTAATAATAATCAATAATTGATTACTCGCTTTTTCTTATGGCTTGCAATGCACGGTTAAATTTAATACAGTAGACTGTTAACAGGTACTGGTGCTATACCATACCATAAACTTTGCATTGATTTGATATTAATATTGAAATAATAATAGTAATATTAATAATAATCAATAATTGATTATCCACTTTGCCTTACAGCTTGCAACTTATAGTTAAATTTAATACAGTAAACCATGTTAACAGGCACTGATACTATACCATACTACAAACTCTGCATTAAATTGATATTGATATTGAAATAATAGTAATAATAACATTAATAATAATAATTAATTAAGCAGGATTACTTTTAATATGTGTGTTTTATGGCGACAATTTTTATGCTATTTTTGTAATAATAACATTAATAATAATAATCATTAATTAAGCAGGATTACTTTTAATATATGTGTGTTATGGCGACAATTTCTATGCTATTTTTTGTAATAATAACATTAATAATCATAATTAAGCAGGATTACTTTTAATATATGTGTGTTATGGCAACAATTTGTATGCTATTTTTGTAATAATAACATTAATAATCATCATTAATTTAGCAGGATTACTTTTAATATATGTGTGTTATGGCGACAATTTTTATGCTATTTTTTGTAATAATAACATTAATAATCATCATTAATTAAGCAGGATTACTTTTAATATATGTGTGTTATGGCGACAATTTTTATGCTATTTTTTGTTTTGTTAATCTTATGTTGTTTTTACTTTGTATGTTTTGTGATGTTACCTGGGAACCGCTCTGAGTCCCCTTGGGGAGATGGAGCGGTCTATAAATAAAGTTTATTATTATTATTATTATTATTATTATTATTATTATTATTAATTGATTACCCACTTTACAGTTTGCAACGTACTGTTACATCTAGTACAGTAGACTGTTAACCGGCACTGAGGCCAGATAAATGTGGTTGCTGGAGAATAGGCCTGATGCACACTCTACCCATACTATACCATACCACAAACTCTGTATTGACTTGATACTAATATTGAAATACAGCCATTACAATCAAAGTGAGACAAATGTAACTCAATGTAAACACAGGTTGATATTGCAGCTAAAGTTTGATTTTGTTTCAGTTTGTATCTGAAGTATAATTGCTTTGATTTTTGGAGAGTTTGGTTAACGGAGACGCTGGCATCTTTGGCAAAAGGTGAAGCTGCGCAACCTTTCGTGCCAGGCCCTTTGGAAGCAATAGGGAGTCTGCTCCATAGAATCCCTGTTTCTCTTTCAACGGGGTTCGCTTTTGGCCCAGAAATGCTCCCATGTGGCGTCTTTCAAAGGGAAGCGCTTTCAAAGAAAACTCAGCTGCGCGGTTCCTAGATTGCGTTCCTTGATGAGACATTTCCTTGCGGCAGATGTTTCACTCCCCCTTTTTCCCCTTGCGAAAGAGAAAGGTAGACACTTGAACAGGCCTCTCCGCCTGCGCCCGAGGTGTCAATTAAACAAGCATGCTCCCATGCACAAAACCGTGCGCTCTGCTATGCGCCGCAAGGATTGCGCTCTTCCCGCAAGGATTGTGCTCTGCTATGCGCCACTTGCAAAGTTTTGCACTTTTCCAGAGTTTACTTATTGTTGGTTGCTTCAGTGATGCCTTTGTGTTCTGCAGCATTACAGATACCAGTAGCCTGATGTTTTATTCTGTTTTAATATCTGCAAATTGTGTTGAAATGCTTTTAATGCAACCCCCTTTGAGGCCATTTCTACATCTATATAAATAAAAATGTAATGTTTGTTTGTGGGATTAACATAATTCAGAAAGTACTGAACGAATTGACACCAAATTTGGATACAATACACCTCTCAGGCCAACAAGTGTCCATCGCTCATAAAAACATTGAAAAACACAGCAAAAGGGACTTAGAAAGCCAAAAAACAAAAAAAAACCCCATTACAATGCATGCGCAAAACCACATATGTACACAAACACACATACAAATATATATACACACATATATCCATATATACACACAAAAAACATATATACACAGAAAGGGGGAGGGAGGGAGGGAGGGAAGGAAGGAAGGAAGGAGGGAGGGAGGGAGGGAGGGAGGGAGGGAGGGAGGGAAGGAAGGAAGGAAGGAAGGAAGGAAGGAAGGAAGGAAGGAAGGAAGGAAGGAAGCAGAGAAGGAGGGATTGAAAGGGAAAGGAGGGAAGGAGAGAAGGAAAGAAAGGTAGTGAAGGAAGGAGAGAAGGAAATAAAAAAGTGAAAGAAGGAAGGAAAGAGAGAGGAAAGGAAGAGAAGGAAAAAAAAGAGAAAAAGAGGGAGGGAGGGAGGGAAGGAAGGAAGGAGACAATCTTTATTTTATACGACAGTGTAGAAGAAGCCGCAATTTGCAACTCATATAAATTAGTTAAATACAGTTAAACTGCATCAGATAAGTTTACACTGACCCTATAATATAGCTTCCAAACTGTATTATATGACAGTGTAGACAGGGCCTTGCTTTATTGCTTTGAAAGACAGATCAAAGTATGCAACCATAGAAATAGTATTCTCATTATCATCATCATATCCTGATGGATAGGGTTAGACTTAATAGGAATGAATGACAGAACTAATTAAGAATTTCAATTGGCTACAGTGTGCCGTTTTTATATATCCTAAACGAATCTTACTTTGCATTGTTGTGAGTTTTCCAGGTGCCAAGTTCTAGAAGCATTCTCCCCTGACGTTTCGCCCACATCTATGGCAGGCATCCCTGCTATAGATGTGGGCGAAACATCAGGAGAGAATGCTTCTGGAACTTGGCCATACAGCCTGGGAAACTCACAGCAACCCAGTGGTTCCTGGCCATCGACAACACATTGAATTTTACTTTTTTCATATCTGGAAACCTGACAAATACTGATTTAAAAAACCCAAAAATTTAACTTTTTTGCAACTTTGGACTTTCTGCAAAACAATAATATTTTATTTTCCTTTAATTACCTGTTCTACATTAGCAATAGGTAATTATTTGTCGAAGGCTTTCATGGCCGGAATCACTGGGTTGTTGTGAGTTTTCCGGGCTGTATGGCCATGTTCCAGAAGCATTCCCTTCTGAGGCATCCTCAGAAGTTGTGAAAGCCTTCAACAATACAATGAACATCTCTATGGGGAGAAATTGTTACAAGACACATGGAATCTCACAATATCTGAGGATGCCTGCCATCGATACAGGTGAAACATCAGGAGAGAATGCTTCTGGAATATGACCAGGCAGCCCAGAAAACTCAAAACGACCCAGCTAATTATTTATTATTACAGTATTTATTGATATCCTGTTTTTATCACCTGATTGAGACACAAAGCTAAGGAGTGATGATAAATAAATATAAGATGATAATATTTTTTTTCTTTTTGTCGTGTCAGGAGCGACTTGAGAAACTGCAAGTCGCTTCTGGGGTGAGAGAATTGGCCGTCTGCAAGGACGTTGCCCAGGGGACGCCCGGATATTTTGATGTGTTACCATCCTTGTGGGAGGCTTCTCTCGTGTCCCCGCATGAGGAGCTAGAGCTGATAGAGGGAGCTCATCCACGCTCTCCCCGGATTTGAACCTGCAACCTGCTTCCTGAATGTCAGGATAGAAGGGGCGGTTCTGATCTCCTGTGGGAGAGAGTTCCAGAGTCAAGAGGCCACCACCGAGAAGGCCCTGTCCCTCGTCCCCACCAGACCCACTTGCGAAGCCGGGCCTCTCCATATGATCTTAATAAGCTTGATAGTTCATAGTGGAGAATACGATCAGAGAGGTAAACAGGGCCAGAGTCATTTAGGACTTTATAGGTTAACACCAGCACTTTGAATTGTGCTCGGAAGCTAATTGGCAGCCAGT